CTCACAGGGTTGTTGTGGGGATAAGATGGAGGAGGAGAATGATGTAAGCTGCCTTGAGCCCTTTGTAGGAAAAAGGCAGGATATAAATCGGAAAATAAATAAAATAGGCCACAGAAGCTGAGTAGCCAGCAAAGCGAAGACAGCAGGGTCTGGTGGAAACCTAGGTCATCCTTCCTCAACCTGGTCTCCTCCTGATGCTTTTGAAGACAACTCACAGCCTCCCCAGCCAAAGCATAACAACTTGGCTGGGGATGATAGAGGTTGTAGTCCACCCATCTGTGGAGTATCAGCTTTGGGGAAAGCTGCCTTAGAGACTGAAGCATTGATTGCATTGAATGTTTCCATAAGCCCATGAAAGTTTATCCTACAACAAATAAGATGGTCTTTAAGGTGCTGCCAGGCCAGACTCTTCAGACGTTTTTGCTGCAACAGTGTCTGAAGCTGGCTTAGAACTGGAAGCCCTGAGCTCGGTGCTGAGCTGCCACGGCCGCACGCCAGAGCATGTCCCCAGAGCAGGGGTGGGCAACCTGTGGCCCTCGGGCGGCGTGTTGCCATTGGCCTAATTTCAAAAGCCTTCTGTAAGTAGTTCAGATTCTGGCAAAAGTGATGTGCTCTCTGTTGACAGTTCCTTCGATAGGGCGGAAGAAGCCCTACAGACAGAGACAGAGATGCGGGTGGCTGAATGAAATAGAAAAAAGAGGTGCCTCCCCTTTCCCTCTGGCCCCACAGTCCTCCAACAGGTATCCCCGAGGGAATGAGGCCCTCAACGAAGTAACGTTCCCATCCCTGCCTTAGAGAGCAAAGCAGGGGTGCAGAACCGCTTCCTCTCGAAGGCCAAATTCCATTTCAAAGAATCTCCCGGGGGCTGCATTCCAGTGGTGGGAGGAGCCAAAGGCCAAGGGGGCCAGCCAAAAGTGCTGGCCTATTTTCACCTGCAGCTCTTATTGCCACAACTAAGCCTTAGGAGAGGCATCCCAATCTTTTAGGATGGGGCAGGGAGGAAGGTACCCGAATGCCAGGATGTCACCCAACTAACAGTGGTTGAAGGGCAGAGGATGGGTCTGTGGAAAGGAGGCCCAGGGAACTCAGAAGGACCATATTTGACGGACTTTTTGTGCCATGCATTGGAGTCACGGATCCAGCTTGCTGGATATGGAATTCCTGGCTGAAAGGTGCTGGGGATGCATCCGTGGAAGATAGCCGTGCTTAGCTGCATGCCCAGGGCCTTGTGTGGAGAGCCAAAGCCTCTGCCCACGAGAGTGCAAGAGCATGCAAATATAGTACGAGGGGGAAGGGGGTGCAGGAAGAGACATCACTATCAGCATGTACTTGCAGGTGGGGCTGGGTGTCGCTTGCACTGACAGCTCCTCATGATCTGTGCACAGAATGAATTATGCAACTTGAGTGCGTCTGCATATAGCTGGCAAGTCTACATAATTCATTCAGCTTCCAAGATTAAGGATTTCAAAGAACTGCCAGGTTTTAAGCAAGGACAGGAGTGGTCAGGAGGAAGGAAGGAAGGCGGATATAGGAATAGCTGGAATAAGTACAGGTTAGGCGATAAGTGGCTGGAGAGCAGCTCTTGTGAAAGGGACCTCTGGTGCTGGTTGACTGCAGGCTAAACATGAGTCAGCAGTGTGATGCGGTGGTCAAGAGGGCGAACGCCACCCTTGGTTGCATAGCCAGAAGTGTGGCTTCTAGAGCGAGAGAGGTATTACTGCCACTCTACACGACTCTGGTGCGCCCACAATTGGAGTATTGTGCTCAGTTCTGGGCCCCTCATTACAGAAAGGATATAGCCAGGTTGGAGTCAGTGCAGCCTAGGGCCACAAGGTTGGTGGCCGGTTTGCAAGGGATGCCATATGAGGCAAGACTGAGGGAACTGGGTCTCTTCAGCCTGGAGAAGAGGAGACTCAGAGGGGATCTGTTGGCGACATACAGGTATGTGAGGGGATGTCACATGGAGATGGGTAGAGACCTGTTCTCCCCTGCAGAGGAAGGCAGGACACGCTCCAATGGAGCAAAGCTCAGGGAACCCAGGTTCCATTTGGATGCCAGGAAGCACTTCCTGACAGTCAGGACCCCGAGGGTGTGGAATGGGCTTCCACGGGAGGTCGTTGAGGCCCCATCGGTGCGGGTGTTCAAGGATAGGCTGGACGTCCACATGGTGGGCATGTCGTGAGCAGAGCCGGCTGGTGCTGGAAGTCAGACTAGATGGCCCGGGAGGCCCCTTCTGACTCGCTCTGTTTTCTATGTTTCTATATGGCAGATGAGGAAGGTGCATAAGAGCTGTTGGCGTGAGAGAAAGATCAATGGAGGGCAGGCACTGAAGTGCTGCATCAGGGATCACTCTTGGCCCCGCTGTGCTTCCTCTGATTTGTTAAACGGGCTAAGAGTCCCAGGCTTCTCTTGAGAACCACAACTGCCAGCAACTTGGCTGTAAGTGAAAATTATACCAAGCTCTGTGCTGGAGTTCTGCTTCAGTGTAGTGAAGAGCAAGGTGTGTCTGTGGGAGGAGAGCATGACCAGGTCCCCTCATTCAGGAGGGGAAGAACAGCTGATCCAGGATGTTGATATCTCCTGTTTGAATTGGAGCTTCCTCACTGTTCTTCCAGTGAGAGGTGGAGGTCACCTTCCAATAAAGTAAGACCAGTTTCTGTGGTGCTGGAAGTGGGGAATAAATTAGGCAGTCCTACAAAGGAGGTGCAGTTGACTGGAGAGCAAAATGGGCCCTGAATGATGGGCCAGCCCTCTTGCCACCTGAGGCAAAAAACAAGATGGCCGCCCCTCCCGTTCCATGGACAGAAAGCCAATTGATCAGAGATGGGCCTGTCCTTGGCCCATCCTCCAACGCACCTGAAGGCAGCAGGCTAACTTAGAGGACACAGTGCAGATGGCATGGAGCACGGGGCCCTCCTCCAGCGCTCCTCCTCGCAGTGCCCCCCACCAGAGGGAACGGCATCACTCTGCCTTACATTGGGACTGGCCCCACTCACAGGGATTCTCAATGAACAGAGATTGTTGGAGGTATGGAGCAGCTTCACCAAGGCTCTGAATACTCCTGGCACTTAAAAGTCCAAATTGTACCACATAAAGGGCAAATCCTGCACCTTGAATCACTTTGATAAATAGCCATGTGTGTGTACATTTGGTTTCACTGCAAAGAAACATACGCCCTGCAACTATATCATTTGACCACTATGACACCCAAAATCCCCATCAATTTTAAGAATTCAATTAGGCTGCACATGTTTACACTCATCTTCCTTAAGGACTGGAAATATAAGGAAGTGTTGATTTCATGTCTCTCTGTGTGTGTAGAATAAAAAGAAATGGAATAAATAACAAGCTAGCAATTTGCCAGACTAAAAAAACGCCTTGGGTGCGTAATATCTATACATACCATGCCTGATACATATAGGGAAATTGTAGCTTGTTGAAATAGGACAGAGACCGAATAAAGATTCGGACTGGCCTTCTGTGCACGCTTACCCAGAAGCGGATCCCAGTGAAGTTGGTGGGAAGCACTTCTGAGTAAAGGGCTACGGAGTGCATTGTAAGAGACTGTCCAGTTGCGGAGACGGAAGGGATGAAGCAGGAAATGTACGGGGCAGCAAAGGAGCTCCATTTGTTGAGAGTGCAGCATGAGGACATGGAAGAGTTGCCAGCTCAGACACTGATTGAACATGACAAGAAGCCCATTTATGGGATAACATGTTTACCAGGAACACCCTGGGTAATGTCTGAGCCGCAGTTATACCCATGCGAATGAAGCCATCCTTAGCAGAGGAGGTTGGGGAAGGGGTACCATGGCAGCACAACAGAGGGGAGAGTAAGAAAACGAAGAGGCACTTAGCAGAGCCAGCAGGAGGAAGAGACAGCAGACAGGCCGCCAGAGGGGTTGTGCAGAAGGGCACTCCACAAGGAAACACGGGGTAGCATGGGCAGCATGAGCAAAGGACAGGTGCGTACCCCGGCTGGGCCCTGCATCGCAGACCGGAAGGGCCAGGAAAGACTCTGCAGTCACTGCTGAATGAGGAACTCCTACCCGGGGGCCGGTGTCAGCCATGTCACCCACTTGGAATTTTAAGACTTTTGAGAAATCACATTCTGTTCATGCTTTGACCAGAAATGATCTAATTTGCATCTCCCAATCCCAAACAAGAACTCGAATGCAATCAGTAGGCAAGGCTGGTACCTTTCTGAGCTTGTGATATGGATCACAGACCAAAAGGAATGCACATGGAAAATGCCTGCAAGTGTTCTAATTCAAGGTGCTGGGGCTGTACACATTCGATGCATACATTTGGGGAGATGCACGTAAATTTGCACAAACATTTTTATGGAGACAGCAAATAAAAAAATAAATAAATCTCACAATCTGATGTGATCTAAGTCAAAAGACACTTCAAAGTGGAATTTGAAGAACTTTAAGCTTGTTCATCTGGAAGTACAGCCATGACAACAGTAACCATGGTTTGGATTGGAATAAAGATGGCAGAACCACCACAGCAATAGTGAACAGGGTGGTGACTCTGGTCAGGATGCTGGATGCAGAGACACAAGTTCTTCTAGAGGGGGCAGTAAAGAACCTGTTTTCCAGCTTCCCTTCCTTGTTTTGCTGTCCTTCCTACCTCTGATCAGACAGCCTTCCTCAAGGACTCGAGTATTAGAGTTGAGTGTTGGCAGATGGATGGACCTTTTCTCCTTATCCCCAGCACAAGGCTGCCGCTGGCTATGATTTTGATTGCCTCCATTAATGTTCTTAATTTGGATTTGTTAATTGACCTAACAAAACAAGGTCTCCTTTAATAGTTGGAGAACAGAAGCAACTAAGATGAGCGAGGGTGACTTTGCTGTAACAAAATGGAATGGAAGCAAATCAATCCAAGGCTTGTCACTTTGTGCACGCACACCCCTCCCCTGCCTTTTCTCTTGTTTTCAGACTGACTCTCCCTCTCCCTCCCTCTCCCCCCTCCCCTTTCTTCACTAATCAACAGGAACCTATTGGACATGGACACTTTCTCCAAGTCTGATCCTGGTAAGTACGGCAAGCTGGTAAATTTGGCGGCTGCAGGGGCAGGACACCATCTTTGGCAGAAGATGATGGGAATAGTTCGGAAGCTAAGAATGTTCATGTATCTTGGCATCTTTTGGCTCCTGTAATGCCATTGTTTTGCCACCTAAACACTTTTAAATGGCATGAAGGTTTTCTAACCCAACTCATGCTGCCCCCATAAGACACTAACTCTAAGGAGTGTTTGTATCAAAGCTTCCACAGTCAAAGGATGATCAGTTCACATCAGTTCCAGCAACAGTGGGATTTGGGCTACACTCCTAAATATATTTACCAGAGAGTAGGCCCTGTTGAATTAATGGGACTTGCTTCTGAGTAAACATGTACTGACTTGTGCTGTTAAAACACCTAGCTGAGTCTTGCATGTATACCTGGCACACCACTGGGTTATTGTCCTGGGATCTGACAGACCATCCTAATTGTAGTAGACCCTTTTCCTCCCCTGCCCCCCAGCGTTTAGCTAATCACTTGAGTGCAACCTGAGGTAAGAGTGTTGCAGGCTACCTGGGTTCAAGGCATTCAACTTTCAATCACCCACCAAAACAAAAAAGAAAGCATGGTACCCTTAGTCTTTTAATGAAGATTTCATGCAAAGTTGTAAAGCTTCAGAGGAATGACTATGGGATGTTACAACTGTGGCTAAACTGACCTATGTCCAAGAAGATTTTTTTTCTAAAGATATTTTGCCAAATACATAAGGAGTCATAACCTATATTCAGTAGCTAGAATGTCAGTTCTCTAAACTCATTGAAGCATGCCTGGACAATGCATTGCTGAAACAACCTGGTCATATTTTATTGAATTGTCAGCTGCTATGCATTAATATAAATCAATAATGCTGATATAAAATTCCCACTAGAAACTTGTAGCTAAATAGTTGGTGGGCTAACTTAGATTCAACATGCAAATCAGTTCACCCCGTTTCTTTTACTGGCTGGGCTTCATGCCCCTCCAAGCTCTTTTTCTTTTCCAAGTTCCATCTCCCTATCTCCCTCCAACTTCACTTCTTTTCTCTTGAATTCCTGTCTGCTTTCCCAAAACAAGCACCCACTTCCTTCACAGCACCTGTATTGATTGGAAACATCCCATGACTGAAACTTTAATGTCAGAAGCATGATGTTTGTGAATATTCTATTGCTGGCTCCAGATTTCCGAGGCCACTTGGGCAAGACACTCTCAATGCATCCCTTATCTCAGTGAGTTTACTTTTTCACTGTCATTGTCAGCAACTGCTATTGCTTATCCTCTCTAGTTAGAGAGTCAGCGATTAGTTCAAAGTTACCCAGTGAATGGGGACTAGGACCCTGGCCTCCTGAGTCTGAGTCCAGCTCTCCAGCCACCACACCACACTGGCTCTCCTCTGCATCACCATTGCTATCGCTTGCTTGCTAGTCAGACAGGGAGTCCACAACCAAGTAGGCAGTAGCATCTCCTGCCACTGGTGTCCAGACTGGAGCAAGAGGCAATTGGACCAACAGGAGGTGCAGCAACTCCAGGGGCCTCTTTTCACTGGGCTCTTGGCAGGTGCCTGACCATTCCGACTCCTGATGCCAGCCCTGGCACACGGAGCAATAGCTGTTCTCAGGCAGGGCCCTTCCAATCTCTGGAAGGGAAACATCCCAGATCGGTTGGTCATGTTCCAGGCTGTACTGGGTGCATGAAGCAAAGCCAGGGAACCTATGTAAAAATGCGTCCTCATTTATGGCCAGGCCCCTGGGAACAGATTGCCGAGCAACACCCACCAATTCCCAGCCGCTTTGGTTTGTGCAAGATGCATTCTATTTTTTAAATTCAGAGAGGCCTGTGTTATTAATACTAGTGATTGGTTTCTGTGCTTGTTGGACATCAGATTGGTTTTGAGTAGCTCCAATGGATTTGCAACTCTGTTATTGCGTTTATGTTATGCAGTATCTTTGAGCTGGGATAGAATGGGCAAAACAGCACAATCTTATACATGTTTATCAAGTGCCATTCAGTTGGGCTTGCTTCCAGGTAAGCAGGTTTAGAATTGCAGCCTAAATCTTAAACAAGTATGTTACCCTACAGTATCATCCCGAGGATGAGTCTGCAGCTTGAATTGGCACTTACTTGGAATCAAGGGAACTTACTTCCACATAAGTATTTTAATTCATCTATTTGTTACATTAATAGCTTTCTTCCAGGGAGCCCAAAGTTATGTACACAATCCTTCTTCCCTCCATTTTATCCTCGTAACAAACCTGGGAGGTGAGTTAGGCTGGGGCTAGTCACACAATGAACATTATGGTTGAGTGGGAATTAGAACTTGGGTCTCTCCAGTCCTAATCCAGTGCTCTAACCACTACCCTATACTGCATCACATAATTAAGATGAGGCATGAGGCATGTCAGGTAAGAACAGTAACTGTTGCATAGTATCGCAAAAACTGTTTTAAGATCTTTGCAAAGCGGCATTTGACAGCAAGGAAAGTTGAGGAAATGTATTTAACACATCTTCTGATTTTTACATATCCTATCACATTTTTCAGTAGTTATGTGAAGATGGGTACAATACTTATATGGGAGGAATACCCAAGGATACAGATTTTCAGATCCCAGATACTGGACTATCCCAGGATTTGTGATCTTGGAGTTTATGATAGGGTAGTTAGTCTATTTCTGCATGCAGGTTTTGGAGTAGAGAGATGAATAAATTGCTGTCTACTCAAGGTAAGAATCCTAAAAGTCCAACATTGGGTGGGATAGAGGGATTTAAGATTTCATAAATTGTCAGTCAGTTTTGTTTTTTTTTTAAAGTTCAGAGAGAGTAAAACTTAGTGCTTTGGGAAAATGGATCTGAGAGATAAGATTTTAAACATACAAGAAGAAATATTAACCTTGCTGAGTTTAACTCTGTTTATCTGCTGAAATACTGAATCTAGTTAAGATCACAAATTTATCAATATGAGCAAGAAAGTCTTGATTGAAATATGACAGTGAAGTATGAAGTCTGCATTGTGACTAATACCTGTAAATACCCTATTAAGTAATCAGGAATTTTTTTGCGGGGGCAGGTTGGATGTACTTTTGATACAGTCTAATTTAAATACATATATATAATGTGCATAAAAGTGTGATTAAAAGCTGTTGTCAAGCCACTGAGCTCCTGATTCATGATCCTGCAGAGCTCATGGACCAAAGCACAAAGGCAGCTCATAAACAGTTTAACTTTGCTTATCGTAATTGCCAGTCAGAGGGTTTAGACATGCAAACTAAAGCTGCCAACTGATTAAAGATATTGTCATTGATTAATTATCAGTAATGTATAAACAGAAATCACAGCAAGCTCTGCTCCAGGGGTGTAAGTCTGGCTTCCTCCAAATTTCACATTTTAAAGAGGAGCTGTATGAGTGACTCGAAGGTTCCAAGATCCATCTGTCTTGTCCTTCTCACCATGTTTCAAATGAGCTGCCTTCTGTTTATTTATTTTTTCCTAAGTGCCATGTTCACCTCTTCTTCATGGATCACTGCCTTGTCATGGTGAAGGGGCTTGCGTAGCTCAATGAAGCTATGAGCTATGCCATGCAGGGTCACCCAAGACGGACAGGTCATAGCAGAGATATCTGAAAAACGTGATCCACAGGAGAAGGAAATGGCAACCCACTCCAGTATCTTTGCCATGAAAACCCCATGGACAGTACCAAAAGGCAAAGAGATAGGGCGCCGGAAGATGAGCCCCTCAGGTCGGAAGGTGTCCAATATGCTACTGGGGAAGAGCGGAGGGCTAGTACTAGTAGTGCCAGAAAGAATGAAGCGACTGGGCCAAAGCTGAAAGGACACTCAGTTGCAGATGTATCTGGTGGTGAAAGGAGAGTCCAATGCTGCAAAGATCTATACTCCATAGGAACCTGGAATGTAAGATCCATGAATCAAGGCAAGCTGGATGTGGTCAAACAAGAGAGGACAAGACTGAACATTGACATCTTAGGAATCAGTGAACTAAAATGGACAGGAATGGGTGAGTTTAATTCAGATGACCATCAGGTATACTACTGCGGGCAAGAATCCCTCAGAAGAAATGGAGTAGCCTTCATAGTCAATAAAAGAGAAGGAAGAGCAGTTCTGTGATACAGTCTCCAAAATGACAGAATGATCTCAGTTCAAATCCAAGGCAAACCATTCAACATCACAGTAGTCCAAGTCTAAGCCCCAACCACCGGTGCTGAAGAGGCTGAAGTTGACCAGTTCTATGAAGGCCTACAACACCTTCTAGAATTAACACCAAGAAATGATGTCTTTATCATCATGGGGGATTGAAATGCTAAAGTAGGAAGCCAAAAGATAACTGGAATAACAGGCAAGTTTGGCCTTGGAGTACAAAATGAAGTAGGGCACAGGCTGGTAGAATTTTGTCAAGAGAATACGATGGTCATAGCAAACACTCTTTTCCAACAACCCAAGAGATGACTCTACACATGGACATCACCAGACGGTCAACACAGAAATCAGATTGACTATGTGGTCTGCAGCCAAAGATGGAGAAGCTCTATACAGTCAGTAAAAACTAGACCCGAAGCTGACTGTGGTTCAGATCATGAGCTTCTGGTTGCAAAATTTAGGCTTAAATTGAAGAAAGTAGGGAAAAGCACTAGGCCACTCAGGTATGGCCTAAATCATATCCCTGATGAATATACAGTAGAGGTGACAAATAGATTTAAGGAATTAGATCTGATAGACAGAGTGCCTGAAGATCGATAGACAGAGGTTTGCAACATTGTACAAGAGGTAACAACTAAAACCATCCCAAAGAAAAAGAAATACAAGAAAGCAAAATGGCTGTCTGAGGAAGCTTTACAAATAGCTAAGGAAAGAGGGGAAGAGAAAGGCAAGGGAGAAAGAGAAAGATACAAACAATTGAATGCAGAATTCCAGAGAATAGCTAGAAGAAATAAGAATGCCTTCTTAAATGAGCAGTGCAAAGAAATAGAAGAAAACAATAGAACAGGGAGGACCAAAGATCTCTTCAAGAAAATTGGAGATATGAAGGGAACGTTTCATGCAAAGATGGGCATGATAAAGGACCAAAATGGCAGGGATCTAACAGAGGCAGAAGAGATTAAAAAGAGGTGGCAAGATCACACAGAAGAACTATACAAGAAAGAGCTTAACGTCCCTGATAACTACGATGGGGTGGTCACTGACCTTGAGCCAGACATCCTGGAATGTGAAGTCAAATGGGCCTTAGGAAGACTGAGCAACAACAAAGCTAGTGGAGGTGACAGTATTCCAGCTGAGCTATTCAAAATCTTAAAAGACGATGCAGTAAAAGTGCTACACTCAATATGCCAGCAAACTTGGAAAACTCAACAGTGGTCACAGGATTGGAAAAGGTCAGTTTACATTCCGATCCCAAAGAAGGGCAATGCCAAGGAATGTTCAAACTACCACACCATTGCACTCATTTCACATGCTAGCAAAGTTATGCTCAAAATCCTACAAGCTAGGCTTCAGCAGTATGTGGACCGAGAACTACCGGAAGTACAGGCAGGGTTTCGAAGAGGCAGAGGAACTAGAGATCAGATTGCCAACATACGCTGGATCATGGAGAAAGCTAGAGAGTTCCAGAAAAACATCTACTTCTGCTTCATTGACTATGCTAAAGCCTTTGATTGTGTGGATCACAACCAATTGTGGCAAGTTCTTAAAGAGATGGGAGTACCAGACCATCTTATTTGTCTCTTGAGAAACCTATATCTGGGTCAAGAAGCAACAGTGAGAACTGGACACAGAACCACTGATTGGTTCAAAATTGAGAAAGGAGTTCAGCAAGGCTGTATACTGTCGTCCTGTCTATTTAACTTATATGCAGAGCACATCATGAGAAAGGTGGGGCTAGATGAATCACCAGTTGGAATTAAGATTGCTGGGAGAAATATCAACAACCTCAGGTATGCAGGTGATACCACTCTAATGGCAGAAAGTGAAGAGGAACTAAAGAGCCTCTTGATGCGGTTGAAGGAGGAGGGCGCAAAAGTTGGCTTGAAACTCAACATTAAGAGAAGTAAGATCATGGCATCCGGTCCTCTCAAATCCTGGCAAATTGATGGGGAAGAAATGGAGGTAGTGACAGATTTTATTTTCCTGGGCTCCAAGATCACCACAGGCGGGGACTGCAGCCAAGAAATTACAGGATGCTTGCTCATGGGGAGGAAAGCTATGGCAAAGCTATGGCAACCCTGTGAGGAGAGCCAGTGTGGTGTAGTGGTTAAGAGCGTGGGACTGGAACTCAGGCGATTTGGGTTCTAGTCCCCGCTCAGCCATGGAGCCAGCTGGGTGACTTTGGGCCAGTCGCAGACTCTTAGCCCAACCTACCTCAGAGGGTTGTTGTTGTGGGAATAAGATGAAGGAGGATAATGATGTAAGCTGCCTTGAGCCCTTTGTAGGAAAACGGCAGAATATAAATCGGAAAAAAAAATCTAGACAGCATACTAAAAAGCAGAGACATCACCCTGCCAACAAAAGTGCATATAGTCAAGGCTATGGTTTTCCCAGTTGCAATGTATGGCTGTGAAAGCTGGACCATAAGGAAGGCTGAGCGCCAAAGGATTGAGGCCTTTGAATTGTGGTGCTGAAGGAGACTCCTGCGAGTCCCTTGGACCGCAAGGCGATCAAACCGGTCAGTCCTAGAGGAGATCAACCCTGACTGCTCTTTAGAAGGCCAGATCCTGAAGATGAAACTCAAATACTTTGGCCACCTAATGAGAAGGAAGGACTCCCTGGAGAAGAGCCTAATGCTGGGAACAATAGATGGCAAAAGAAGAAGGGGGTGGCAGAGGATGAGGTGGCTGGATGGAGTCACTGAAGCAGTCGGCGTGAGCTTAAATGGACTCCAGGGGATGGTGGAGGACAGGAAGGCCTGGAGGAATGTTGTCCATGGGGGCATGATGGGTCGGACACAACTTCACAACTAACAACAACAACAACAACATGTTCACATTTACCTGTTGAAGATTCATCCTTATCAAACAAAACTGAAATGCATTTAAAACAATTTCCAAACACCTCCAGAGGAGAAGGGTGTTTGTGATATCACAGGAGTTAACCAATTTGTGCCATATTCCCTGGGAATCCAAGTTGCTGCCCTCAGATCAGACTATTGCTCTGTCAAGCTCCATATTGTCTATTCCAGTGGTGTTGAACCATAGGCCTCTGGGCAAAATCCAGCCCTCAAGGGTCCCCCAGAGGGCCACACCGCCTTCCCCAGCCCCACCTTCTTTCTCCAACCACCAATCATTTCCTTGAGCATCTCACTATTCTAAAAGGTTGAAATGCCTTAGATGTCATAAAGCTCAGTTACTGACAATCAGAACTTTAGAATACATTGGTATTTTTGGCCTTTTGCCCCCATTTCCTTTTGCATTTTTCCTCACTAACCAGGGAAATGTGGTTCCTGGGAACCTTTCAGAAATTGAATTTAGTCCTTGGGCTGCAAGAGGTCTAACGCCCTGAGCCCACACTGATTAGTATTGGGGGCTTTTCCTGCTAGAAAAGCATGCGCTTGTAGACTTACAGAATAGTAGAGTTGGAAGAGGCCAGGAAGCTCTTTGGGTCCAACAGGGCTCCAAGTTAAAGCTTCTCTCCCAGAGAGCTCTGTCACTGAACTATAAAATTTCCATGAGCTTCTTCCGCAAGCCAGTAAATCAAGCCTTTTGAAGGTTTGCCCCTGGAAAGGCAATAGTCTGTTTGAACTGAACACAGCAGCAAAGTTTGATGTCTCCAAAGTCAGTGGGGCAGTATAGCCTCTCTGAGGTTTAGTCTGAACTTTTAAGGAGATTTCCACGGTGATTAATCATGCTTTACAGACTATAGGGTCAGCACCATGGACAGATCCTTTAAAATTCAACCTAAGCCCACTGACATTGGAGCCACTGCTTTGGTCTTTTCCTTGGAAATGTTTGAGAGAGTGCTGTTATGCCCAGCTGTGTATGTAAGCCCCAAGGTGCATTGTGAGTGGCATGGAAAATACCACTGTTCTGTGTATTCACATCTTTTAAAAAATTCTAATTACATGGGAGATGTGTGTGGGTGGGATTAAAGCTTATGCCTCTTCTCCTGAATGCATTTTTTGACATCTGTCCTTGCAGTTGTGATTCTCTATCTCCAAGGAACTGCAGACAAGGAATGGCGAGAGGTGAGGAGTTGTCCCATGCTTCTTAGTTCTCACACATGTGTTACAGCAAGCCACAGAAGGACTTGTGGGGCAATCGCCCTGCCATAAGTCAGCAATCCAGGCCATTGTTGTTTATGAAAGCCCCAGCCCTGACTGGCAAGTGGCCCACTGTTGCCTCACCCGATCCATATGGTGTTGGCACAGCCCTGCATTTGGGAAGTCCTTCAGTTCTGAGGCTGCAACCTGGAGATGTGACCTCGCTACTGTGGTAGGAGATGAGGCAGATGCAGCCTCTTTGGAGCATGGTAGGTACCCCTTTCACAGCTTCAGTGGTGTTCATAGCTTCTCCTGACCTTTTGCAGAGGGAGGGCCTCATTTTGCGCAGGGCATGTGAATGCCGTTGCCTTATTGATATTGAAAGCCACCTTATCCCTAGCTCAGTTTGGGAGCTGTAGGAATTGGGCTCAGTACCCTTGCAGATGTGCCCCAAGTAAACACGGGAGCCGCTTCTGAGCCAGACAGGGACAGGGAGGTAAAAGGAGTTGTCAAGGCCTCGAGGGAGCAGGAGCAGAAGACCGGTGAGAATAGAAGGGGCAGCGTGAAAGAAACCCAGATGGAGTCAGTCTGATGGCCACTCTTCTTTCATGGCAGTCAGTTAGGGAACAAACTAAAGCTTAAGAGATACTTTGTGTTATGCAGTTTCTGCTTGGACCTTCACTCTCTTTTGACTGCATGAGGGTATTGTCTACAGCTGAACAAGCGGGTCCTAGATGAAATCAAGCTAGAACTTTCCCCAGAAGCAAAAGTGATAAAGATGAAGCTGCAGACATATCACGAGAAGGCAAGACTCACTGAAGGAGACAATAGTGCTATAGCAAAAGAAGACCAAATATGAGATGGTCAGATTCCAAAAAGGAAGCCACAGACTTGAGTTTACAAGAACTGAGCAGAGCAGTCCAGGAGAGAGCAGTTTGCAGACACTCATTCTCAGGTTCACCGTAAGTTGGAGACGGCTAGATAGCATGCAGCAGCAACGACCAACAAATAGCGGGACCACAAAGAGAGCCGGGCTCTGCATAAGCAAGACAGCCACTCTGACAACTGGTCTTCTCACCCTGATTCCAAGACTAATCAGTTAGGCCCTAAAGCTGCTAACCTTAGATGAGGAAACAGGAGCGGTGGAAATGAAACCAATTACTCTTCCAAGCCATAGAGGTAGACATGGCAACTCTTTAGCCATTTTACTCTTCTCTGTTCTCAGTTTGGTCGTACGGAAGTGATTGACAACACGCTGAACCCAGATTTTGTCCGGAAATTTGTCCTTGACTATTACTTTGAGGAGAAGCAGAACCTGCGTTTTGACGTGTGAGTTGCTTCTGTGTCCATCCTGACCTTCTTTCTCTTATCTCTCTCTGCTTGCTTCTCCGTTCAGTTCTTCATTGCTCTTGTCCCAGACAGCAAATGCTAGGCTCTGCCCAGAGTTTGGGATGCCCTACCCCAGAGTTGTCAACCTATTTTCTCTGTGTTTTTCTAGTTACAATGTGGACTCCAAAACCTGCAATCTTCCCAAGCATGTGAGTACTGTTTTCACCCCTCTTCCCCATCCTGCTTCCACTGTAACTCCCCAACAGAGGTGGGGGTGGGGTTGTTATATACTTAGGACCCAGAATATCCAGTTAGCTAAGTCTAAAAGAGTCTCTGACTGTGGATGGAATGAAATAATTTTGTGCTTTCCACACACACACACACACAGAGACCAAAGGACATACAGCTATGTCATGCAATTCCCACCGATCCAGGTTCCCCAGGCAACTGGCTATTCAGTGCAACAACATCCTAGTCCTCAGGCTGCAGGAATATCTTGAAAACATAATCCCATTGTGTGCCTGGACATCAAGGAAACCAGCATGGTCCCCTGTTCCCCACCCCCACCCCCCTGTTCCTTCTCCCAGCTTGCCATCTTCAGACATGCGGACATACCTTTTTCCCTACCTGCTGTATTTTGGGGGTGGCTTCCCTGATATTCTAGAGAGGGTTTCCAAGTGCAAGTGCTGCAAGAGTCTTCTGCACCTTTGAGAATTGCATGTAATCAGGAAGTCAGCTGGGCTGTGAGGGCAAAAACTATTACAGAGATATCATCATCACTGTTATAATTAACTTCATTTCTAAAGCACCCCACAGCTGAAGTTCTCTGTGTGGATAAAGATGGTGGTGGCAGTGGCAGTGGCAGTGATGTCGATGTCTAGTGAGCACACTTTCTAAACTTCTTAAAGCAGCCATTAGCCATGATGCTCCATAGATGCGGATCAGTATCACTCTGTCTGTTGATATCTCTTGTGAAATTCACCTTTAACTTGCATTGCAAAATAGAATGAAGAACCAGTTTAGTTTCTGCTGAAAGCCCCAATAATTCCTTAGACACAACACCTTGTCTGCTTCCAGACAGGACACTCCTCATGCTAACAGTCTGCAGGTACTGTGCAACTATTCCGTCTTTCTTTCAACTGATTTTTTCTTGCAAAGAAAAAAGATGGAAGATGCAGTAGGAAGATGCAGAATGGATATGATGAGGACATCTGGAATCACCATAAAATGCCATGAATGGGGAAGAGCAATGGCACAATGAAAGTCTCATCTTAGGGGTATTGCCAGGTAAGTCCTTTATTGTGCTACTGCTCTCCCTCATTAATGTTTTTTTTTTTTAACTGGGGGGAATCAACAGCATCTTCCACTCATGGCCCTGCTGTGCTTTCCTTACCTCTTCATCTGTCTTTTTTTAACCACGGAAGAAGAAAGAAAGAAAAAGCTGGAAAGGCTGCACAATGCCTTCTGATTGTTAGCACTAGCACTGATTCTGAAAGCCCTCCACAAAAGCACCTGATGAAACTGCCTTCCGATGCCATTCTTAAAGGTACAGGAGTTTTCTCTGGGTCTAGAATGTGTTTTTCCATAATGCGTTTCAACAGTCATCAGCTTGTGTTTTTGGCCATGCAGGCCAACACCTCTAGAGGGAATTAGGTTAGGGAAATACGTCTTGCCATAGTTCCAAAGGTGAGTCCAGGCACAATATCCATGTTCAGACAGAAAGAAGTCCTAATTCCCCCCATTCCCAGCCAGCATGGTTTTTGTTTCAGCATGCATAGGACTGCATCCTCATTCTGTCTACCGAAGCAGGCATCTATCTTTTGCTTTGCTTTCTTCCATGATTAGGTCCATCTTACCTTAAAAAGCCTCCAAGGCCTTCGCTCATTTCTTATCTCTCCACACTCATATCAACAGATCCCTTCCTGTCACCACTGTTCCTCCACCTTTCTCAATTTTCACCTTCCAGAAGTTATCTTCTCCCTGAATAAAGGAGTTTGCCTTTATTCTTGGAGCTGCCTTTCATAAAGTCTTTGCATGATGGCCTCACTTTCATCCACCCTTTGCATTTCTTCTCAAAACTCCTTTTGTCCAGGAATCCCTTGAGACAGCATCCAATTTTTCCTGCAATATTTGTGCAATTTTTCTAGATAAATAAACATTCCACCTCTGCTTTGGTTCTGGTGCATTCATGACTTGCTGAGTCAGAGCAAGGTGAGGAAACCAAAACCAAAAAAAAAAAAAAAAGGCGATATAGGAGCACCTTAGGAATGTCTCAGGAGAAGTGGGGAGAAGTCACTAACATCTCTTTCCTTGCTTTTCTTTCCATGTTGCAATTCCTGACATGACTTGCAGAAGGTAAGTTGCCTCCAGCTCTCTGAAGCGGCCATGTGGTCCTCTGGTGGTAGAATTGGGCCAGAATCAGACTGGGGTTGCTTGTAGCCTGATGGCAACAGTATTGCTGAGCCAAAGGTGCTGTGTTGGTTGTCGGTCCTTTCCTGTGAAATGGTTGTTATGCTACAAGAAAGGTATCAAAAGAAATGGTGGGAAAGGACAGGAGGGTTACAAATGAGAAAATGATGTCTGGACATCCTATCTTCCCCCCCACCACACATACAACTCTGCAGTGAAGGTGGTTGACTGCACCTTAAAAGCCTTGTCCGGAAGCTTCCCAGCTTGGGGATCAGCAGGGAAAGACAGCTTGCCTGCATGTGCATCCAGGCAGCCCCCAGGTTACAAACAAGCCCCTTTCCTGAGAAAATGAAAATTCATCTTTAAGTCGAATTTGTAGGTAATTTGGAGCACATATGGTTGGCACTAACCTTCCCCAAACTTGTGCCTTCCAGACACATTTGGACAACAACACCCAGAATTCTCAGTCAATGGCTCTGCCAGATAGGAATTCTGGGAGTTGTGGTCCAAATGCCTCTGAAGGCCACCAGGTTGGAGAAGTCCGGTTGGCCCTCCATGTTCATGGGGTTAGGGGCACAGGACCCCGTGAAAGTGGAAAAAGCACAACTATCCCCCCCTACCCCAACTCATTAGGGCCCTCCTCTTAGCAGCAAGGAAATGCCTGACAGATTTAACTCTCTGGATGGCTGGGGCAGGAAGGTTTTACAGGCCTTCCTCTCTCCACTTTTGACTCCTCTTTATGTCGGTGACGATTTTCTGCAGAATTTTTTTAATTAATAGGCTTTATGGCAGTTTGTTCATAAGTGCGGGTTGTTTGTAACTTGGGCGTTCGTAACTCAGGAACTGCCTGTTCTCAGACAGAGCCTGGAGATGCAGGGCGTTCAAAACTGTGTCCAGGCATCCCCGTGCAGCGCGTCGTAAGAGAGGGCACTCTCATCCGGGGCCCCTTTCCCTGCTGAGTCCTGTCCAGGACACACTCTGCCTCCTGCTTCTGTGGGCCCTCTGCTCACTCCCACTGAAAGCAGAACGGCGGCCACTGAAGAGCACAAGCGGCGCGCTCTGCACAGGATCGATGTGAGGAAGAGATAAGGTTTCTGGTGACAGGACTCTCCGTCACTGCAGGAAAGCATCTTCCTCCTTGTCACCGTTTATTTTTCTCCTGATTTCCCAATGGAAGCCTAGCAGGACTAACAGCATCTTCGTACGGAACAAATGCAATAGTATCAAATGGAATATTAATGGGAAAACATTCCCCTAACCAAAAATGCTATCATATTCGGAACTTAAACATCAAGCTGGTGAATAAATATGAAATTCATAAATATATTGAGCAAAGTCAGGGACAGCAGAGTATGGAGATGAGCTGCAGTTCCTTCTCTGCACCTCCTGTTGTCCTCTGCCTTAGCCATCTCTCCCTCTCCTTCCGGGCTTCTCTACATGAGGCTTTTAACCACCGATTTACCCATGTTTGCCCTTCCAGATTATTTGTGGGATTCGGAACCAGTCTTTTACACATGTTTCCCCTCCAGATTTTCTTTCTCTGTCTTTCTGTATGTTCCATTACACAATTACAGGGAGGGGCTGCATCCTAGCAAAACAGCATAAATACACCAGCATTTCATAGCACCATTTCCAAATACTACTGGTCTTTCCTCAATTTAAAAAAAAAGCCACAGAACTGGTTGCAAAGCACCACAGGAAAGGCCCTGGGGCAGGAGGATGTCATGTAAAGCACCTGGAAACAACTGTGAGGACTCAGGAGAGCACAGTGAATGCCTTATATGGAAAAGTCTTCTCTTTCTTGCAGGACTTCCTAGGACAAGCCTTTGTGGCACTCGGTGAGGTAATAGGCTCCCAAAGAGGTCGCCTGGAGCGGCCCCTCACGTGAGTCCTTGTGGCAATCTCTTGCGTTGGCAGTGGCCTCGTTAGCACCTTGCGGGGTTGCGGCATGCAGTGACGTGTGCTGGGTGGCTTTTGTTCTTGCTTTGTCTCTGTGGGACAGGGGATATTGGGTATTCCTGAGGGTCCTAAAGAAGAGAAGTATCAACGCAACATTTCCTTCTAATATTGTGCTCTGCTTTGTTCAATTATATGCTTTGTTGTTGTGTGCTGTCAGCTCTGACTGGATGGGGGCCCTATGCATGAATCGCCCTCCAAAACGTCCCATCCTTAACAGCCCTGCTCAGCTCAGGATCTGGAAAAGGGAATGCTTGTTATGCATTGAAACTTTTGTGTTTCTCATGTCAAGTAATCTGTTAATTAGTTCACAGCTACCCAGTTAATTGATTGATTAAAACAGTTCACTGATGAGCAGTCCTAGTTGGGAGTGCAGTTCAGCTCCGCAGAGAGATGTGGCAGAAGACGACTCCCATCTCAGTGTCTGAACTTGCACCCAGCTGCGTTAGCAATCCTCTATATGGGCTGCAGGATTTGGGTGAGAAGTGCTTAAGCCAAGAACAGTCCCCAGTGCCTGGCCGCATCGGCCTTTTGCTCTTCTGCAAGGGTCTGATGGAACCTCCTTGGATTTTGAGCAGGCAACCAGGGCAAAGTGGGGTCCCCTGGGACAACTCATCTCACCCTTCAGCATTCATTCCTTCTGACAGAGCACGCCTCTCACCGCTGCCCATTTCAGGTACACAAATTCGGGATATGATGATGCCGTGGTCACACTGATTTACAGGCAATTGCCATACTGTGGAGGGAATTGGGGTCATGAATACCATAGCAGCCAGCCCTTCCTCTGTTTTCCCCCCACCACCCCCATGTCTTCTCCAAGCAAAGGGTCTCAATCCCAATGCAGTTTGATTATCATTGTTTCTTTCTCGCTGACTATGGCCATTTTGGGGGACAATCAAAGCAAATAAGGCGGTTATATCTTCGTAATATTGCTGGGGGTAGGGGTGAGGGTGTGAGTCCCCAACTCTGCATCATGCTACCCGAAGATCAGGTTGTGGTTTGATGCTGTCCAGTAAGGGCTGTGTCATGCTAGTATTTCCTTATGCATGGGCCTGCATGGCCAAGGGAATTTTGACTTGAACACTTTCATTATTGTTCAGCTATCTGAGCAATGCCTTCTGGAAGTTACTTGGCGCAGAATAAGAAAGGATTCTACATTTGCAGCCCTTGCTCTTTACCTCGATTTTTACCAAGCAAAATCATAAATCACCCTTTTAATCAAGATGAGCAAGTAAAAGACTTTGATTTTTGACACCCTTTCAGTACCAAATCACAGGTGAAGAGAGTGCCCAGACAAGGCCGCTGCTACAGGAAAGCCCTTGTATGTATGGTAATTCATGCAAAGTGGAATAGTTAAACTTTCTCCTCTGGCCATTTATACCTACCACACCAGTGTTATCAATGCTTGCATGCATTCCATTTTCCAGAGGGGTAGCCAATTTGGGTCTCTTGCAGCAACCCCCCCCCCCCCCGAGGCTTTAAGGCATCTGAAACCCTAGTGATTTTGTTCTGGAATCAGTTTTCATGGACTATAATCCACTTTATGGAATGTACTCAGATGCCTGAGTTAGGCCTTCCTGGTAGTAACCCGGGAAGAGTCCTTTTGAGCTGACTCTAAGTTTCTCTCTTTAGGGGGGTTCCAGGAAAAAAGTGTGGCACCATCTTGCTGTCTGCAGAAGAGCTCAGCAACTGCCGGGTGAGTTGTCCATTGTCCTCCGACAGGTTTGCCCCTGGGGGAAACGGTTTGCAGGACTGGGACCTGGCAGAAGACAGCAGGAGGAACAGGGAGAGGGAAGCAGCCCCTCCATGGAAAGGGCAGCTTGGCCAGCCAATAAGAGGAACATAACCTTACGAAAGCTCCCAGACGGGGCTTTTATTGTGCCATCACACTGCCTTGTTCCTGACACTTTGCGGGGCTCCAGATGATGAGCTCTTCTGCTTTGCCATTGTCCTGTGGGTTCCCACCATGGCTTTCATCTTCTTTCCTTACCACACAAGATGTCCTAAGGAAATGAAAAAGGTGGAATAACTGGTGATAACCTTTCCTTTGCATTGCTAGGAGCCCTTGGTCTGGAAATACCCCAAGACATGACTGTGTAATAATGTACATAAATCAGATATGACAGTTTGGTACTCAGTTGGGCTTTTGAATCCCCATTGCTACATATATTTACACAGCTGAGTCAGAGGGCTTATTATATTGCCGAAACAGATTCTTGGGGGGAAATGGTTTTTTTCATACATAGTCCTACTTCTTAAATGAAAGGAGGCTTTTCTCGCCCCTTTGGCTAATTGTTCTAAACCCCTGATTGTTGTTGTTGTTGTGTGCTGACAACATCTCTGGCTTATGGCGGCCCTATAAAGGAATAGCCTTCAAATGGTCCTGTTCTTCACAGCCCAGCCCTTGTAAACTCGGGCCTAGGGCTCCCTTTCAGCAGCTGATCCATCTCACAGTCGGTCTTCCTCTTCTTCTGCCATCAACTTTCTCTAGCATTACTTCTTTCTCCAGTGAGTCTTGCTTTCTCATGAGGTGCCCGAAGTATAACACCTTCAGTTTCATAATTTCTGCTTCCAGGAAAAGCTCTGGCTGGCTTTGATCCAGGACCCGCTTGTTTGTCATTCTGTCGATTCAGGGTGTTCACAAAGCTGTCCTCCAGCACCGTGTTTTGAATGCATCCATTTTCTTCCTGTCAGCTTTCGCATGCAGCAATAGTTATAGGGAAAACAATAGTGTGGATGAATGTGGCCTTGGTCTCCATAGAACTAGATTTAAAAAATAATAATAATGCAGTGTTCCTCACATATGTAATGTGAAACCACCTATAAAAGAGAAGAAGCTATGACAGAGAAGTTACAGGGGTTAACTGAAGGAAAACAAATGAGTTTTCAACCACCCACTGCAGTTTTGTTCTAAGACTCACAAGCTTTATATTAAAACAATTCCGTAATTCTCTGTCATATATTCTAGTATGAAGAACTGCCCTTCATTTTTAACTATTACTTCTTTCACAGCACATTTAAAAGGATTCTTCCCACAGTGGCCAGGCCTGGCTAGTGAGGGCACTGAGGGGTGAAGTAATGGCCAAAGGAGGGTCTCAACCGTCTGCTTAAAGCCACAGTGTGTGATAAATGCTGCATAGGTGGGACCCAGAGCTCACTGGCCAGTGGGGGCTCAGCAGTTCTGGGGCCCTGGTTGAGAAAGTGAGATCATACCCCACCACGTGGCTTGCTTTGACCTGAAAGGACGCTGAGGTCCAGCCTTTTGAGGACTGAGCTACCCCACATTGTCTGCGGCAAGCACACCGAGTCGCCTCACACACCATTCTCCCCTGGTTTCAAACTGTATTAACTGCAAAGCTGTCTACTGCTTAGCAAAATGTGCCCCTACTGACTGAAGATATCACTGTGGGCTTCAACCCCATGGACACATTTAATTATTGCATTTTAGATACCAAATAATCCAGAGGTGCAAGCCTATAGGCTTCCCTTAGGATACATGCCAATTTCCAGTTCTCTACGTTGTGCAGTCGTGCCACTATTGCACTGATGCACACACGGGCAAACACATCCCTCCTTTTAGTATTGTTTCAGTAGTGCTATTTAGAAAGTGTCACTGCATCTATTTCTTGTTCTGATGGAATGTTTTTGTTGCAGGACATTGTCACCATGCAGCTGTGTGCCAACAAGCTTGACAAGAAGGATTTCTTTGGCAAATCTGACCCCTTCCTTGTCTTCTACCGCAGCAACGAGGATGGCACGTACGCAAGAGATGTCACTTTTGAGGCCCTGGCATCCAGCTTACCAGACACATCTGGATCCCTATCATCCACAGACACCCACAAGTTTGCTGGGAAGCTGCTTCCCCTGTGAAGCAGCAAGTTTGTTTTTCTGTCCACCAGTTCTCTATCTGATCTGTCTTTTCACCATCTCAGGGTTACAGGAAGTTAGAGGGATGTGCTGACATGCATTATCAAGCCACTAGACCACAGTTGTTCCCTCCAATACATTCTGAGGTGGAAACATGTGGTCATTTTGTGAGACCGGCCTGGTTCCCTCCAGATGGACTGCAACTCCCAGAATCCTCCACTCTGACACCTAGAGGGCACCAGATTGGGGGAGGCTGTGTCAGACAAAAATACCAGTATGTTTACATTTATTTACATCCAGGAATATGCTCAGTGCTCCCTGGTCTTGTGAAGAGAGAATAGCCACCATTTTGTGGTAAGCACAGGCACTGAGAGGAGCAGCTAGGCCCAAGGTGGGCAAGCCTTGGTTCCTTGAGCAGAGGCTGAGGCTTGTGCCTTAGCTTTGTGCCTTCCTGTCTCCAGTCCAGGTCCATGGGCCAAAACATGTCTTGTGCCTGTTGCCAATTGCAGCACCCCAAAACATCCCAAAAGTAGTAGGCCAGAGGAAGGCCCCAAGAATAGTTGGCCAGAGGGAGGCCACATTGTAAAAACACCACAGTCATACTGTCCCAGAAGGGAGGGAGGATAAGAACAAAATGAACTTTGTGTAACCCACAGCTAACACACTAGCCTGATCTCGAATACAGTAATCAAAGGGACAGTAGAAACTGGTTATAGCCACCATGAAAGTTGCAAATGTGCAGGGAATAAGAACATGGCAAGCCTGTGTGAATCTCAAGCAGATGAGAAATAGACATGGGAAATGTCTGGTCCTTGACAGAAGAAAGGACTCTTTGAAGCTAACAGCAGTGGGGGTATGGCTACATGGATGTGTTGATGCATTAGATGTGTATTAGTTGACCCAATTGCTTAGGGTATGAAACGCATGTACCAGGGTGCAACTTTCGAGACACTGCTTTGGGCTGCATATCCCCTTTCGTCTCCCTTTATTCTATAATGCACTAGAATAAAGCTGGTTTTGGCTCTAAGTCTCGTCTCAGGCTCCTTTTGACTTGGGTCTTGGCTCCACCCGAGTTTGCCCTAGCTGTTGACTGGCTGAATTCGGTAACAGTTTCTGGTGCCCAATGTGGGGCAACCGAGTGGACTCAGGCGCATTTTGCCTCAAAATTCTTAAGCCTTCTCCCTCAAAGAACCTCTTTTTAGATGGGTGGACAACCAGCAATAGAAAGCTCTCCCTCAGCAACTGTTCTTGGGGTCTGCCTCTGGCCAACTACTTTTGGGGTGCTGCAATTGGCAACATGCATTTGGGACAGACACTGAAGGCTCAGCTTTGATTCAAGGAAGCGGACAGGGCCTTGGACTCAGTCTCCAGGCACTTCGCTTTCCTCAGTCCCTTTCACTCACACTCACTCCTTGCAAAGGTCAAGCTGCATGCTCAAGACCAAGTAACGTACATTAGTCAGGCCTTAACCGGGCCTTTCCCAGTCTGGTGCCTCCAGACACTTTGGACTACAACTGCCAGAATGCCTGTTGGCGGGGACTGATGGAAGATGAAGTCCAAAACATTAGGAGGGCACTCATTTGGGGGAATTGCCTCAAGCCCATTAAGCCACCTTTTTGTATTCGCAGTCAGATCAAGAGCTGTCCTGGATGAGGGGGATTGAGTTTCAAGGCACACGTGCAGGGGAGGAGGGAACACTTGCCCGTGTCACTACTGGCATGTGTGTGTTCTTCAGGGGAGGGTTGCCTCAGGGAATACAATTTTTCTTTATTGAGGGTTGCCTCAAGGAGTACAATTTATTGTCTTTATTGTATTACCTTGTTGTTATTATTGCCTCAGGGAAAGTATTCAGAGCAGGGATGTCTTGACCTGGGACTCCCACTGACCCCAGCCAGCTCGGCCAATACTGAGGGATGATGTGAGTTCTGAGCCAAAACGATTGAGAGCTGCAAGTTGCCTACCTCTAGTCTAGACTGCTGGTGGCTACGGCCTGGCCCCAGCCCTTGGCCGTCCGTTCAGTGACTCTGGGGGAGGCCAGAAAAGCCCCAGCAGCTGCTTAGTGTCTGGTGCAGCACTCAGAGCCAGCTGGTTTCGGCTTAGCCCAGAAAAGTGCAAAGAGTATATTCCACACTTTGATCTGAGTCACAAGGAGCCTCCCCCACCCCCGCTGCGACAGCCAAATATGCAGTCAGAAGTATCCACACAGAGACTCTGGAGACTGTGGCCCAAGGGATGCCGCTGCCTCAGGAAGAGCAGCAAATGGCATGCTCTGCCCCCAGCTGAGTCCTTATTTGGGCGGCTGAGGCAAAGAATCCCATGAGCACTTTTCTTCCTCTCCGGCAGAATAAAGCACGACATTCACCAGCAGCATGCAGCCCTTTCATGTGCTGCTGCACAACACATACCTGGCGGGCTGGCCCTGCTCACCAGAGGCAAGGCAGGGTTCGTGCGCTCTTTGTGCATGTGCGGGAAGAGAATTTGAGCAGCTGGGACAAGACTGGGTGTGCTGAAGCTCTCCCTTCTCCTTGGACATAGCGAAGAACGGCACAGGGCCTGGCATCCATGTTCCCACTGCAGGAGTACTCAGCCAGTAGCCCCTCCCTTGGGTTCTTGCACCCTTTGCCATGAGCCCTCTCTGGTTCCAGGTTCACCATCTGCCACAAGACGGAGGTAGTGAAGAACAACCTGAATCCAGTGTGGCAGCCGTTCTCCATCCCTGTGCGTGCCCTGTGCAACGGGGACTATGACAGGTCAGAGCGCATGCTGGCTTGGCTTGTATGTGTGACGTCTGGGCCAACTCCAGAGTTGGGCGTTTCTCAGGGCCCCGAGAATGGCTCATTGCCCCATCAGCACTGCCATTCTCGCGCCATGGAAGAGGGAAATCTCACACACCAGCTCAATGCTTTTAGACCAAGGGGGTCCCTTGAGGTTTAATTGCCTTTAAACTCACAGAGCCAGCATTGGATGGAGCTGAGAATGAGGCCCAAATTCCTCCAGGCAAGCCTAAGGAGCAGCCACTGCTGAGGGGAACACATGATCCTCTGGTTTTCTGGAGGAGGAAGGTAGCCGGCACCTCTCAGGCATGCTTCCCATCCAGCTACCCTCCTTGGGCACTAGCACGGGGTTCTGGTGTGGCTGTAGAGCAGCATAACATAAAAATAACTTACTGACAGTGGGTATAAACTCTGCAGCATCTCTAATATTTCCTTATTTTTCCTCTGGGGTCAAGTGCACACAGTCCTTCTCATGAAATTCACCTTCTACCTCCTCACTTTGTTACTTGTGTTCCAGGACGGTGAAAATCGACGTCTATGACTGGGACAGGGATGGCAGGTAAGGTGCTGGGTTAGCTTTGTCTAAAGGGGAATTTGTTTTGTTTTGTGCCCAAGACCATCTACATATTGCATAGAATGAGGTGGTGCATGTGTGTATGTGAGAGAAAGAGAGAGAGAGAGATCAGTGCTGGTGCCAGGGTTTGAGGCCCCATCAGGCCCCTCCCTCCATGAATCTCTCCATTCATCCCCATTTTCAACAGCTGCTCTTCTTCCTCATCCTCTTTCCTGTTCTCACCCCTCTTTGCTTGCTTGGCAGGCTGCATGCTGGTGAACAAGGAGGCAGTGCTTCCTCACCATCTTCATTGTCTGGTCCAGAGGAAGGGGCAGGTGAGCAAGCAGGTTGCCCTGGCAAAGAGGAGGCCCCCTGCTGGGCTGTGGGCCCTCAGCCGGTGCTCAGCTGCACCCACTCTCGGTGCTGGCCCTGTGTATGACAATTCTGAGCTCTCCTCTAAGTAAAAAGCTCCCAGAACGTAGCAAATTTGCACATCTGAAAGATGGTAATGCTAAACATTTCTCCCTAGTGTCTGATTTTTTTATTTCTTTGAAGTGCAAAAGCATTAAAATATAATAAATATGCACCCCTCTGCAGTCTGAGATGATACAGTCTTGAATCCTGCCACCCACTCCATGGAATGCATGGATCAGCTTCCTTGACCTTGTTACTGGTAGGCTACAGAGGATGACTCTGGAAACATTGTTTGAACAACTAGGAGAGATCTTTATGAATTTGTCAGCTAAACCATTGGCTAATTAAGGGCGCTCCGAGGGCCCGTGAGTTTGGAACTGGGACTCTAACGGCCAAGCACCTGCCTCTTCCCCTTGCGGCCGGCACAGAAAGAACTGCCTCTCTGAGCACGCGAAAAGGGTGTGCAGCGGCTGGGGAGGCACGGGCGCTGGGGCTGATGGATTATGCCATGTCCCGGCAGTGTCCCAGCCTCCCTCCCTTTCCTGCGCTGTTCTGTTCTGGCCATCTGGATGACATGCAAGGCACAGGATGCTGCAGTGGTGGCAGTTGCCGCCACCGTGCCTTGCTGTATGCCCTGGGTGCAGGTGAGTCTGGGAATCAACATGCCCCTGTGGCTGCGCCCTGAGCAACTTGTTACGCACACAGATCAGATCTAACGACAATACATCGGGATCGTATCACACTCCAGCCTCTGCCATCAGCGAGGGGACCAGTGGCCACTGGGAAGCTGCACTCCTCATCAAGGCAAGGGGGAGACCAGCCTTGCCCCACTCACAGGCCAAAGAAGGGGCAGCTGTGTATGGCTTCCTTTGCCCTCCTCTGCCAGAATGACTCTGGGCTCCTCCTGCCCTGGCACTGCAGAGCTAGAAGGATGCACATCCATCGGCTGGGGGACTTTGGATTGCTAGGCTGCATGAGTTTGCGCTGTGTGTGTGTGTGTGCTATTATATTCCAGACTTCCCCACCCCAATGCCCTGCAGATGTCTTGGACTTCCCATTCCCATTGGTCCCAACTAGCATGGCCAATGGTCAGGAAATTTTGGGAGCTGAGGTCCAAAGTATCTGGAGGACACCAGTCTGGGAAAGCCTATTAAAGCTGCCTTGAGGATCATTTGATTAAAAGGCAAGAAATAAATCTTCATAATAAATAGAATTTTACTGCACAATCCTAAGTTTATTATAGCTAAATCCCACTGAGTTTGGTAGGGCTTACTCATGAGCAAAACTTACAGAACTGCAGCTTTGGTTTTACTACTAAGAATTTTTTTAAAAAAACAGGAACAAGAAGGACCTCGGTTTTAGAGTAATTTAGCTAAAGTTCTCTGTTGAATGGAGATTAGCAGGGAGGGTGTGGCTGAGGCTGTAGAAGGCCATATGTGTCCTAGGCTGGTCCATCCAGCTCTGAACTTGCACAGCTGTGATTTCCAAAGGGACATATAACCTAAAATGTGTGAAAGCTGGGCAAGAAAGTAGTACATGAATGCTGCAAATGAGCAGAGCACTTCCCACAAGCACCAGCAAGTGCCTTCAGGCCAGACAGTCAGGTTTACCCTGGAGCGACACAGGAATCTTCCTCTGTGAAGCAGTTCCCTGAGGGCAGCCACTGCTTCTGCTGGCGTAAATGTTTTTATTCCCTCCCTCCTGCACCTTCAGAGTTCTTTGAAAACATTGTATATTAAGGATGCCATCCTTAGCATATCCATGCTGGGAGCTGCAGGCCTTTTCTTCCTGCATAAACTTGCAGAGGATTGCACCTTGAAGCCCTTTAGGACATAATACTGTGGGATCCCCATGCCGTCTGGGGGCAGCATAGCATTCTTTAGAGCTGCAGCTCCAATATCCTGCAACCTATTCATGGGGACTCTGACGGCAAAGAGGGGCATGCTGGGGCAGGGAGGGGAGGGGGCTGGAGCTGCCCACTTAGCCGATTCTTGTTGGCACTAAACCTCCTTCCCTCCACCTCCCCAGCTGAAAATGGCCATCAAGGGAAGATGGGTGAGGATCTGCAGTGTTACACCTCACCCTGTGTGCTGGAGGCATGTAAGCCTCCCTGTTCAGAGGCCTGCATGTATCTAAGGTGGAAGGTTTGGGATTGCTCCCTGAAGCACTAAAGTGCGTGTTTTAAGAGTCCAGTGTCAGCATATCCACCACTTCTTTTGCCCAGGGCCAGATCAACACACACTGCACAATAAGGTCCCTTTTCTGGCTGCAGGTGGGAGATAAACACTTTTTAAACTCTTCCCCTATTAGAATATCATACTTGCAAGTGCAGGGGTTGGAAAGAACAGCAGAGGGAGACCTTTTAGATCAGCATCCTGATCTTTAAAACACAGCAGGAGAGCGTTTAAAAAACTGTTATATGCTCTCATTCTGTAGCAGATCGAGCAAGGGTATGGAAACTCTTTCAGCTTGAGGACTGAAGCCCATTTTGGAAATGCTTTTGGGGGCTGCATTCTGCTGGGGGGTGGGGTTCCTAGCCAAAAGGGGCTGGGGCCAAAATACTAAAAATGCCAACATATTTTAACTTAGAGCTCTTACTGTCAGGAGCTAAGAATTGGGAGAGGCATTTCATTCCTATTTATTTATTAGGGTATTTCTATCCTGTCTATTACGGTTCGTCTCTGAACTGCTTACAATATAAAACACCTAATAAATACATCATAATAACACACAACTGAGGATAAAAACGTAAGTAAAATATTTAAACTTTAAAATATCGGGTAAATAAAAAGGTCTTGACCTGGCACCAAAAAGCATATAACGTCAGCGCCAGGCGGTCCTCTCTGGGGAGCACATTTCATAGCCACCACAGAGAAGGCCCTGCTCCGAGTGCTCTCTCTCCTGACCTCCTTCAAGGAGGATTCCCAGAGCAGGGCCTTTGCTGCATATCTTAAGGAGCAGGAGGCCCTTTACAATCAGGGCTGTGGGGGCTGCCGAAAAGCTGAAAAACTGGGGTGAAGGGGATGGGTCCAGAGATACGTAGGGGTAGAGCTATCTGGGGAGCTCCTGAGGGCCACACTGGGCATGTGGTCCCATGGTTCTTTACCATGGCAAGCTGGAGAGGGTGGAATGGTCAGGGTGTGTGGGCCCTCTTTGGAACAAGGTGCATGGCCGTTTGGCTATGCCTGCCAGAAGCTCAGGCTGAGTCCTTAAGCAAACCGAGGCCTGTTATGGGTGTACACTTTGACTGCACCAGAACTGACTGCCTATATGGCTTCTCCCCTTTTGTGCTACAGCCATGATTTCATCGGGGAGTTCGCCACGAGCTACAGGGAACTCTCCCGTGCCCAGAGCCAGTTCACAGTCTATGAGGTAAGCCTTTTCTCCATGGTGGTACTAAATGTATTGAATCCTGTGGATGTGCCAGACAGAGAGCTGTGAAATTAGCACATGTAATCAAGCCTTCCTGGGTGTGAAGCAAACCTTAATGAAGGCAGTGGTTGGGTTCAGATAACACAATAATCCACTCAAGAATTGGAAATGGGTTGAAAGAGGGTTCTTATTCAACCTTAGGTTACTGAAACATGAACCTAGTTATGGTAGCAAAGCACAATTTGTTAGCCATGAATAACCCATAGCTCACAACTCAGCAACAAATTGCAGTTTCTCTTAACGGATTGTTCATGGTTAACAAACTATTGTGATTATGGCTGGCTTCTGACAACACAACAGCCCACACTCAAAAGTTGGGTATGGATTGTTGAATTGTGAATCATTGTGCTGTCTGAATCCAGCTGAGCTAACAAGCCATGGCTTGTTAACCATGAGCAACCTATGAAGAGAACCCATGGTTTGTTGTGTTGTAAACTCTGGGTTCTTCATCATGGTTTATCTTGTCAAGACAACATAATAACTCACATTTCAAGAACAACCTACAGTTCAATGGCAGCCCACACTCAATCCACACTCAACCCTTAAGTGTAGGTTATTGCATTGTCTGAATCTAATCTTAGTCTAGATTTTTTCTCCATCCATAACTATTTTTGCTGGAAGAACATCTTCGAGTGGTACTTACAGAAGCTTTTATTCCAATGCGTTGGAGGGAGATGGAGATGGAACGAGACTGGAATGGGAGCAAGAACCAAATGGCTGAAGCCCTTCTATACCTGCACCAGAGTCCTGATGCAGACTGGGCTGCCTACACTATCTATTAATTTTTAAACACCATCCATGCCACTAGGAATTCAGTTCACAGTTCCATACTAATTGACCTAATTTCACACTTTTAAACATGTGAACTAACATGTGCCTACATTTTGTACTAGAGTTCTTCCATCAAAAATGTCCAGAAAAATGCATGTATTCATGAAGTGTCCACCCAAATGTCAAATGTATATGTCCATGGAAAATAATACCTAAAATGCACTACTTCATGGCTTGATTTTAAAGGGGGCTTGGCTGCATTGTCCAGTGGCTACCAGGAGAGACTCTTCCCCTTTAGATGTCCTTGTCTTCATCTGTGTATATCAGCTACATTTGCTCTTCCATTAACAGCGGTTTGATTCTCAACAATTAACAAATGATATTGTTTTGGTCCATGGCACCCTAAGCTAACTCGCTTGATTTCTGCTTCTCAAACTTTTCTCCTTCTCAAGGCACAGAAGGACCATAGCTGAGTTACAAATCACATGCTTTGCACAGACAGGGACAATCTAAAGCTGGCTGCACAAATATTTATAGTTCCCAAGACATTTCAAGGTTGGTCTCTTTATCAAGAGCAATCAATATCTTCAAAACTCCTGAATAACGCTTCCAACCCACTGATAGAAAACTCATCATTAGAAACGAGGTGTTTAAAGCCTTATTTAGAAGTTCTGAAGAAATCAATAACTTGATAAAGAGAAGAATCCTGAAACAGAAAGGGAACTCTAAATGTTGGTGCAGCTGTCTTTCATTTTGTTGTAGCTGTTTGTTGTCATTAGTCGCGAAGTCATGTCCAAGCCATCGTGACCCCATGGACAACACTCCTCCAGGCCTTCGTGTCCTCCACCATCCGCTGGAGTCCACCCAAGCTCACACCGACTGCTTCAGTGACTCCATCTAGCCACCTCATCCTCTGCCGTCCCCTTCTTCTTTTGCCATCTATTGTTCCCAGCATTAGGTTCTTCCCCAGGGAGTCCTTTCTTCTCGGTAGGTGGCCAAAGTATTTGAGTTTCATCTTCAGTATCTGGCCTTCTAAAGAGCAGTCAGGGTTGATCTCCTCTAGGACTGACTGGTTTGATCGTCTTGCTGTCCAAGGGACTCGCAGGAGTCTCCTCCAGCACCACACTTCAAAGGCCTCAATCCTTTGGCGCTCAGCCTTCCTTATGGTCCAGCTTTCACAGCCATACATTGCGACTGGGAAAGCCATAGCCTTGACTATACACACTTTTGTTGGCAGGGTGATGTCTCTGCTTTTTCGTATGCTGTCTAGATTTGCCATAGCTTTCCTCCCCAGGAGCAAGCATCTTGTAATTTCTTGGCTGCAGTCCCTGTCTGCGGTGATCTTGGAGCCCAGGAAAATAAAATCTGTCACTACCTCCATTTCTTCCCCATCAATTTGCCAGGAAGTGAGAGGACTGGATGCCATGATCTTAGTTTTCTTAATGTTGAGTTTCAAGCCAACTTTTGCACCCTCCTCCTTCACCTGCATCAAGAGGCTCTTTAGTTCCTCTTCACTTTCTGCCATTAGAGTGGTATGATCTGCATATCTGAGGTTGTTGATATGTCTCCCAGCAATCTTAATTCCAACTGGTGATTTATCTAGCCCCGCCTTTCTCATGATGTGCTCTGCATATAAGTTAAATAGACAGGGCGACAGCATACAGCCTTGGCGAACTCCTTTCTCAATTTTGAACCAATCAGTGGTTCTGTGTCCAGTCCTCACTGTTACTTCTTGACCCGCATATAGGTTTCTCAAGAGACAAAAAAGATGGTCTGGTACTCCCATCTCTTTAAGAACTTGCCACAATTGGTTGTGATCCACACAATCAAAGGCTTTAGCATTGTCAATGAAGCAGAAGTAGATGTTTTTCTGGAACTCCCTAGCTTTCTCCATGATCCAGCATATGTTGGCAATTTGATCTCTACTTCCTCTCCCTCTTCTAAACCCTGCCTGTACTTCTGGTACTTCTCAGTCCACATACTGCTGAAGCCTAGCTTGTAGTATTTTGAGCATAACTTTGCTAGCATGTGAAATGAGTGCAATGGTGCAGTAGTTTGAACATTCTTTGGCATTGCCCTTCTTTGGGATTGGAATATAAACTGACTTGTTCCAATCCTGTGGCCACTGTTGAGTTTTCCAAAGTTGCTGGCATATTGAGTGTAGCACTTTTACTGCATCGTCTTTTAGGATTTTGAGTAGCTCAGCGGAATACTGTCACCTCCACTAGCTTTGTTGTTGCTCAGTCTTCCTAAGGCCCATTTGACTTCACATTCCAGGATGTCTGGCTCAAGGTCAGTGACCACCCCATCGTAGTTATCAGGGATGTTAAACTCTTTCTTGTACAGTTCTTCTGTGTAATCTTGCCACTTCTTCTTAATCTCTTCTGCCTCTGTTAGGTCCCTGCCATTTTGGTCCTTTATCATGCCCATCTTTGCATGAAACGTTCCCTTCATATCTCCAATTTTCTTGAAGAGATCTCTGGTCCTCCCTATTCTATTGTTTTCTTCTATTTCTTTGCACTGTTCATTTAAGAAGGCATTCTTATCTCTTCTAGCTATTCTCTGGAATTCTGCATTCAATTGGGTGTATCTTTCTCTTTCTCCCTTGCCTTTCTCTTCCCTTCTTTCCTCAGCTATTTGTAAAGCTTCCTCAGATAGCCATTTTGCTTTCTTGCATTTCTTTTTCTTTGGGATGGTTTTAGTTGTTACCTCTTGTACAATGTTGCAAACCTCTGTCCATCGATCTTCAGGCACTCTGTCTATCAGATCTAATTCCTTAAATCTATTTGTCACCTCTACTGTATATTCATCAGGGATATGATTTAGGTCATACCTGAGTGGCCTAGTGCTTTTCCCTACTTTCTTCAACTTAAGCCTAAATTTTGCAACCAGAAGCTCATGATCTGAGCCACATTCAGCTCCTGGTCTAGTTTTTACTGACTGTATAGAGCTTCTCCATCTTTGGCTGCAGAGCACATAGTCAACCTGATTTCTGTGTTGACCGTCTGGTGATGTCCATGTGTAGAGTCGTCTCTTGGGTTGTTGGAAAAGAGTGTTTGCTATGACCATCGTATTTTCTTGACAAAGTTCTACCAGCCTGTGCCCTGCTCCATTTTGTACTCCAAGGCCAAACTTGCCTGTTATTCCAGTTATCTTTTGGCTTCCTACTTTAGCATTCCAATCCCCCAGGATGATAAGGACATCATTTTTTGGAGTTAATTCTAGAAGGTGTGGTAGGCCTTCATAGAACCAGTCAACTTCAGCCTCTTCAGCACCAGTGGCTGGGGCATAGACTTGGACTACTGTGATGTTGAATGGTTTGCCTTGGATTCAAACTGATATCATTCTGTCATTTTGGATATTGTATCCCAGAACTGCTTTTCCTACTCTTTTATTGACTATGAAGGCTACTCCATTTCTTCGGAGGGATTCTTGCCCGCAGTAGTATACCTGATGGTCATCTGAATTAAATTCACTCATGCCTGTCCATTTTAGTTCACTGTTTCCTAAGATGTCGATGTTCAGTCTTGTCATCTCTTGTTTGACCACATCCAGCTTGCCTTGATTCATGGATCTTACATTCCAGGTTCCTATGGAGTATAGATCTTTGAAGCATCGGACTCTCCTTTCACCACCAGATACATCTGCAACTGAGTGTCCTTTCGGCTTTGACCCAGTCGCTTCATTCTTTCTGGCGCTACTAGTACTAGCCCTCTGCTCTTCCCCAGTAGCATAGTGGACACCTTCCGACCTGAGGGGCTCATCTTCCGGCGTCATATCTTTTTGCCTTTTGGTACTGTCCATGGGGTTTTCATGGCAAAGATACTGGAGTGGGTTGCCATTTCCTTCTCCTGTGGATCACGTTTTTCAGAGCTCTCTGCTATGACCTGTCCGTCTTGGGTGGCCCTGCATGGCATAGCTCATAGCTTCATTGAGCTACGCAAGCCCCTTCACCATGACAAGGCAGTGATCTTGGAAGCCTTCTCCTCCGTGGATTTCGTTAATCCCATTTCACAGCTGTTCAAATTGGTGGCCATCACTAGGTCTCATGGAAGCAAATTCCATAGGTCAGCTCTGTGCCGTCTCCTGAATTCCCCACCAGTCAGCTTCGTGAGATGAGTTACCCACTTCTCCACAGTGTGCATACCAACCCCATGTGAAACTTTGTGTAGAAGTTCTTGCTCCTGAGTAGACTCTACCAGGCTTGATGGACAAGCAGTCTGGCCTGGATAAGGCCTGTTACTATGAGCAAACTGGCCCTGGTGCCCCCCCCCCCACCCCCATGCGTTTGACAACCCAGCCATTGCTTCTTCGCCACTTCTTATTCATTGCCAGTATCTCAAAGAGACCCATCATTCCTCCCCACCTTCTCCCTCCACCCTGGCTGTTTTGTATCTAGGACAAACCACAGAGGCTAGTCTAGCCGAGACTGTTTCAATAAACTATAATTACCACTTTGGATGAAGTTGCACCATTTGTCTCTGTAGTTTAATAAAGTCCAGTATTATTGATTTGTTGGAGGAAGTAAACAATAATCTTGAGTCTGCCCCCGGTACTCAACTCTGAAGGACAGCCTTTGCCCAGCAGTAGGCAAAATGTTCTGCTCACCAGTCCACCCACCAAGATGCTTCCTAAGTTTCATTCATGGCACAGAATTCAGTCTCAAAGTAGGACTCAACAGATTGCTACTTTGAGGCATGGAGCTCAAGTGGCGATAGCAATGTCAGTTCCAGGGAGCTGATGCGTGCATCCCAGCGGAATTGGTACCAAACCTGAGTGAGACACTGGGGCAGACCCAAATTATAGCTGGAAGCAGAATCATTCTGTGTCTCAGCTGAGAAATCTGTCAGAAGGGGAGCTGAAATATGAATGAAGTAAGCCTAAGGAGTAGCCCACAGAAAATAGGGAAGCCAGTGGTGTTGTACGGAGGTAGGACTTGCAGGCTTGATGCCCTGGGACTTATTTATCTTCCTGCTTTTTTTCTTTCAAGGACCCAAGCGGCTTACATAATCCTCTTCATCCTCTCCATTTTATCCTCACAACAAGCCTGTGAAGTAATTTAGGCTGAGAGTCAGTGACTGGCCCCGAGTCACCCAGTGAGGGCCAGAACCAGATCTCCCCAGTCCCAGTTCAGCACTCTCACACAACACTGGCTCTCCAATTCACATGAATTGGGGCATCAACTGCTACCTCCTCCCCTCAGGCTTCCCTGCTCTCACTGAGCTTAGTTACAAGCCTCACAGTAGCTGGGGTGGCCATGTGTCATCTCTTCCAGGAACAAGTCCTCTACTTGAAGGGCTGCCAAAGGACCATCTATTATTGGATGGGCTCTCCTGCTTGCTTCCAGTTTAAGGATAATGAATCATAGGAAGGCAGAGCAGGTCAGAGCCATAAAGTTGTCCATCAGCAGTGAGTGCCTGGACAGCAGACCAAAAATACAAAGCACCCAGGTCACCCGGTCATTGTCAGGCTCTGGGCTGCTCTAGGGCTTCTCCTGATGATCAGAACCGGAAGCCTACCGCAGAGTGCACAGGATTGGTCCCAGGCCCTGCTGGAGCACTCATCTTCCTGGGAGCCTCCGAGAAAGGGCTATGTAAGAGCAGGGGCTTCCCTCCAGAGTTGGCCTTAGCAACACAGGTTATCCTGTACCTCGCCTGACTCTTCCTGCATCTTGTCAGGCTGCCTCAGCAACATGGGTCCTCCTGTCCGCTGTAGTGCCTGCACCTTGCCTGACCTGATTCCTGCCACACTGTCTCACCTCAGCAACATGGGTCTTCTTGCTGGCTCCTGCATCTTGTCTGGCCCTGCCCGGTTTTCCTGCCTCAAAGTATCTGCACCTCCTTTGTCTTCCTGGTTGTTGACCCTTGGCTTCCTCATGGCCACATGTTTGCACTGCCCCAGTACGTACTTCTGTTTCCTGACCCTGGCCTGCTCTGTGACTATAACTTGGGCTTTGCTAATGGACTTTACCACTGGACTTTGGTCTCTGTCTTGCCCCGAGTTCTGTTGCCTGATCCTGGTGCCCCCCTCTTGTCTCTAGCTGCCCACATCCCAGCCTTCGACCCTGACAGTCACTCTCTCCCACACTGTGTTGTGATGTACTATATTTCTATCGCATTTACATTATAATAATTGTTTCTAATCTTCCTCTTGGGGAAATGCGTTTTCTCTTTTTGGCAAATCATTTTATTTATTTATTTATTTTATTTATTAAAACAAATCATGTCTATTGCACTGACCTCTCCCTGTGGTAATGCGGAATATTTTGGAGGGACTTGTACAGTTAAGACCCATTAGGGTTATGAAAGAATTGCTCTTGATGGAAAAGAAAATCGCTAGAAGTGTCTGGTGGAGAGAGATCGACACAGCTGCCTGTGTTTCTGGACTTTCCTTTGTATATGTGTGGTGCTGGTGGTAGGGAGCAGCTGGGACTGTCAAGATGAACGCCTGCTCTTCGGGATTTATCCCTGCATGTCTGGAAGCCCATAGAATAGAAGAGAGCAAGCGAGTGGGGGGAAGGTTCATGGAATGGTGAAGAAAGCACAGGACACTTACAAATAGAGGAGAACATAATCTGGGCTTACCCACCCTGTAAAATTTCATGAATGAGGCAGAGCAATGGCACAATAAGAGCCCCATTTGGAAGCAGCCTGACTGAACATTATGTCTGGGTTCAGACAGCACAATAACCCACACTCAGAGACTGAGTGTGAGCTGTCATTAAATCATGGATGGTTGTTGAACTGTGGTTGTTGAATTGCAGGTTATACCACTGTCTGAAGCGAGTCAAGAAGGCAAAACATGATGAGCAAGCCACAGTTCACAGCCCAGCAACAAACCATGGGTTCTCTTCATGGGCACTTCATGGATAATAAGCTATGGCTTTTTAGCACAAATGAGTTCAGGCAACACAACTCACACCCATACACTCTCTTGAATGGGGGTTATTGTGTTGCCCCAACCCAATCCATATTTGGATTAAAAAAATGTTTCCCAGGAAGGGCTGTCTTCCTTTGCAGTTTTTGCCTTGAGAAGCGTCCAAAAATCTTGCAGCATAAATGCTGTTTTGCTTTAAGGGACACAGGGTGACACAGCATTTTTAAGGGATGTAGCAGTGCTTAAATATGGGGGTGGGGGAATAAAGGGCCTATAATGAACCCTACCAGGACTCACCACCCAGATTTGTTCCTAATTGCAACAAAATCAATTAGGCTGTAGCCTTCTAAAATAGTACATAAAAGAGTTCATCATGATTAGTAGGTATACTTGGCAGTTCAGTGAATTTGTTCTAGATGGTCACATTGCATATGAAAGTTCCCTCCATCCAGAAGGAAGGACTTCATAGTTACAGAACAAGGCACTGCAGCTCTTCCAACATGGAAACATCTTGGTTTTCCCATATAATCCACAAGAAAACTTTGACTCATCCAACAGTTATCTACACCCTAGCCAACTGGCCATGACTTGGCAGCCTCTGGCCAAAAAGAAAATATGGGTAGATGAGCCTGCTTTTGGATAAGGAATTAGATGAACTTCTTGTTATTCCTTACAGCTCTGTCTAATTATGTAGTAGCTGGGATGAGAACATGGGAGCCACAAGAAAGAAGCAAGGGTTGCCTTGGGTATATTTCTGGCAGTTGTTTTGTGGGGACAAGATGATGGTTGAGGACTCAAGGATGAAGAAGACTCACCTGTTCCTCCTCCTCTTTCAACTGCAGGTTTCAAATCCAAGGAAGAAATGCAAGAAAAAGAAATATATCAACTCTGGGACTGTAAGTTTGAAGACCACTATTTTCATCTCTCCCACCCCTTCTCTGTCATTCAGACCTTGTGCAGAAGGTTAGATGCTGAGGAGTCTTTTCACCACAAAGTAATCCCACCTTCTTGAGCCAACCTAAACATCTCTGTTCTGCAATTATAAATGCTTGGGTTGGATCCAGAAACTGGCTTCCATGACAGGAAGGGTCTCTCTGAGAGAGGAAGGGCTCCAGGTGCTCCCCCAGCACACCGCAGCTCTCCCTCTTCAGCAGGTTTTCACTCTAAGGGAGCAGGAGGGGGCAGGAAAGTCCATTGGCCTTTGCTTCTATGTTACTCCTCACTTCCACAGCCACACACAAGTCCTTCTGGGTCCCTGCTTCACATCCATTAGGCTACTTTAGAACATCTGTCCAAGGTCGTCTCTTCATAGGAGCACCAGAAAAGCCCTGCCTGAGCAGACCAAAGGACCACCTAGCCCAGCATTCTGTTCAAACAGTGGCCAGTCAACTGCCCAGGGGAACCCACCATCAGGATTTGAGGGCAACAGCGCCTTTCCACTCATGTTCCTAAGCAACTGGGTGATGCAAGCATGCTGCCTCTGGCACTGCAGCGAACACCGAGCCACCAGGAATTCCTAGAGCATCTCCTCTAGGAATTCATCCAGTCCTCTCTCAAAGCCATCCAAATTGGTGGCCATCGCATTATTCTGTGGAAATGAATTTCATCGTTTAATTATGCACTGTACAAAGAGGTACTTCCTTTTATCTGTCCTGAGTATCTATCTGTGCACCTTCTCTCATAAAGCTTCCTTTTCCCCTGTCTCTGTTCTTGGCAGGTAACTCTTCTGTCATTTGCAGTGCAATCGGAATTCACCTTTGTTGATTATATCCGAGGCGGGTATGTTCCCTGAAGGGCTTGGATGCCTACAGGTCTCTGGCTCCAGGAGGCCAGCGGGCCAATCTTCAGAAGCGTGGGCAGGAAGGCAGAACAAATGGGGGGCGGGCTCTGCTGAAGGACTGGCAGAGGTGTTGGCTTGGGGGTGCTGTGCTTTGGGGCTGACAGGAGATTGAGTGACACCATGAGGCTATTCAATGGGGAGATACAGCTGAGGACTCTCTGGAGCCCTCACAAGGTAGGCAGCATCTATTTTCTCTCTTCTCCCCCTCAACCCTTTAGGACGCAGCTGAATTTCACAGTCGCCATTGATTTCACAGCCTCCAACGGTGAGTGTAGCCCACCGGCGAGTCGCTATGGGAACAGAGTGGCAGCTTAGCTCCTGGTAACCAGGCAGCCAAGGATCTCATGGTTCCAGCTGGAGATCTTTTAACTATCCACTTCTATGGGGTTGTTTGGCTTGGGCATTGCTTCTGCCTCTCCCCCACGCCCAAATTGGGGCAAAGGAAACCCCTTACTCAAAGAACTCATGTAGTTTCACAGTGGTATTTACTCAGGGATGGACATTCCCCTGTCTTGCTAGATTTGAGCAGCTGTCTATAAGGGGAATAGGCACTGGAAGCAGAGGTGCACTCTGGTTCTGTGGGGGAGAAACACTATGAAGAAACTGATCCGGGACGTCTAAGAATGGGACGGTACACAAAAGTTTTAAATAAATAAATAAGAAAGAGGAGCGGAAGAGATGAGGAGGGGTCACCAAGGCATCATAAGAGACGAGGGTGGGGAAACATACAGCTTTCATGGCCTGCAACTCCCATCAGCCCGAGCCAGGATGGCCAATGAGGAGCAGTCATGGGGGCTGCAGCCAAGCTGCTTCTGGTGGCCACAGATTGGAAGGGAAGGACAGGCAAACCAAGCTGAGATAGGAAATGGTTTGGGGCCTTTTGAGAGGCTTTCTAGCACAGTTGGTCCTGGCTGTGGGGAGCCACAGGGCTGAACTGCTGTGGGAGAAGAGGGTCTGTCCGGATCTGAGAGGCTGACGAGATGCGTTTTCACAGGGAACCCCTCCCAGCCTACCTCCCTCCATTACATGAGCCCGTATCAGCTCAGCTCCTATGCCATGGCACTGAAGGCAGTTGGCGAAATCATCCAGGATTATGACAGTGACAAGCTTTTCCCTGCTTATGGCTTTGGAGCCAAGGTCCCACCAGATGGCAAAGTCTCCCATCAGTTCCCTTTGGTAGGTAGGACTGGGCTTCCTATGGGATGGTGGGCTGGACCATCATGGTAGCATGGCTCCCTGGTGTGCATGTGGTTGCAGGTTCCATCCTTGGAAACTTCACTTGAATGCATGTGAAATGGCAGGGTTGGGAAAGATACTGGCTGGCCTCCGATGATGTGATCACCATCCTCAAGGGTTGAATGTGGGTTGTCATTGAACCCTGCATTGTCCTCCTGTGATCTCAGCCAAGATAACAAACCAGGGTGAAAAACCCAGAGTTCACAGCCCATCAGCATATTATGGGTTCTTGTCATGGGTTGATCACATCTGACCCACATTTCCACAACTCACACTCATCCAATACCCAATCTTTGAATAGGAGTGATTGTGTTGCCAGAGTTTACTCAGACATGTACTGTCACCCATGACTGCCAGTTCTGATCTGAATGCATTGTTGTTGACTTGTTATGAGGCAGCTTCATTTGTCCTCACAGAATGGGATTGTGTGAAACTCTCTGGGCCATCTCTCATTTGCGCGTGTGCACACGTACACATCCATGAGTGTGGAATCTTAAGTAGCTAAAAATGCACTACTCATATACAAGAAGGCTCAGGGAAAAAAAAGATTTGGAGAATACAGAAAAAAAAATCAATAGGAGATACTCATGGGGAGGGTGCCCTGTGGAATATAACACATGCTACCAGTGTGTTATAACACATGCTGAGTGGACCCGTGAACAGGAGCACCGCGCACTGCAACAATTTGTCACACAGTCCGCCTGTGCCATGTAACAGAGTGGTGCCCAGCTCCTGATCTGAACGCCGAGGTTCAGTCCCAGAAGCAAACAGATCAGGTCAAACGATATTGTTCAGTCAGTTCACTCATCAACAGGGAGCTGCTCAGCTGTTAGGACACAAGTGAGTAGTTTTACAGCTGATTCCCATAACAGTAACATCTAATGGATCTGCCAGAGTAAGGAAAGGTTCAAGGTCATCACAATCAACTACATCATTTGCCACACAACACACTAAATGTCACTGCAGAAGACTTTGCCGCTCTGGCTCCAAGCACAAACTAATTGTTGCTATGCTGTTGGAAATCAGTAAGGGGACTTGCAACTGTGTTTCTGGGCACGGCACATTTCCTGCGTGCTTTATATTAAGTCCATGCTATCAAGCGTGTTGTAGCTGCCACGGGTGCATTCCATTGAGGCTCCACACACATTAACTATAACCTTTGTGGCAGTTGCCTTTTTATTACTCCCGTGTTTTTATAATCACTCTTTTAATTACTGCTGTAAGGGTTTTCCCACTGTAGTATTTTAAATGAAATAAGCACTAAGATACTAAATGTTTCCCTCTGGATATTTTTACTAAGACTCCCATGAGCCCCAGCCAGCAAAGCTTGCGGCCAGGAAACGTGCTCCTAAATACTGCAAGGGCACCATGCTGAAGAAGGCTGCTATAATGCTGCTTCAATGCACAGGTAGCAAGGCATGGCAGGGAAGGCATCAGGAAGGCTAAAGCTAGGGATGAATTGAGGCTAGCGGGAGATGCTAAAAGCAGCAAAAAAGCCTTCTTCAAATATGTCCAAAGTAAAAGAGGGAAGAACTGGGGGCTCAGTTACTTGATGTGGATGGCAAAATGATAGCAGATGACAAAGAAAAGGCAGAAGTGCTCAATGCCTATTTTGGCTCGGAGTTCTCCCAAAAGAAGATTTATGACCTTCCTGATGAGGGTGAAGTACAAGCTGAAGGAGCAGGACAGCAGCTCAAGAATCATAGGGAAATGGTCAAGGATCATTTAATTGGGCTGAATGAGGTCATATCTCCAGGATCTGTTTAACTCCATCCTAGGGTCATAAAAGAGCTGGCAGAAGAACTCTTAGAAGCACTGTTTTTTTAATCTGTGAGAAATCATGGATGACAAGGGAAATGTCAGATGACTGGAGAAGGTCTACTGTTGTCCCTGTCTTCAAGAAAGGAAAAAAGAAGAACCTGGGAACTACAGACCTGTTGGTCTGACCTTGACCTCTGGGAAAATTCTGGAGCAAACTATATACCAGTCAGTCTGCATACATCTTGAAAACAATGCAATGATTACTGGAAGCCAACATGGATTTCTCAAAAACAAATCCTGCTAGACAAATCTGATTTCATTTTTGATTGGGTAACACCCCCCCACACACACCTTTGTGGGGATGCTGTAGACGTAATCTATCTTGACTTCAGTGCCTCAGGCTATACTGATTAGCAAATTAACTAACCATCAGGTGGAACCACAGTTGGCTAAGAATCGGACTGAAAGAGTGCTCATCAATGGCACCTTCTCAAAGTTGAGTGAGGTAACTAGTGGGGTGCCACAAGGGTCAGTCAAGGGCCCAGTGCTCTTCAACATTTGTATTAATAATTTGGATGAGGAAATTCAGATAATTATTATATCTGAAGATGACACAAAACTGGGTGGGATAGCTAGTATCTTGGATGACACAAATAAGATTCAAAGTGATCTTGATAGGTTGGAACGCTGGGCTGAAAACAGTGGAATGAAATTCAATAGGGACAAATCCCAGGTTCTGCATCTGGGAAAAAGAAACCAAACGCATCATTACAAGATGGGGAATTCTTGGCTCAACAATACTGTACATGAGAAGGAACTTGGATTTGTTGTAGGTCACAAGCTAAATATGAGCCAACAGTGTGACCAATGTCGTGAGCGGAGCTGGCTGGAGTTGGGGGTCAGACTAGATAGCCCAGGAGGCCCCTTCTGATTCGCTCTGTTTCTATGTTTCTATGTGATGCAGCTGCAAAAAGGGCAATGCAGTTTTAGGTTGCATTAATAGAAGTACCACTTCCAAAGCCCATGAAGTACTAGTTCCCCTTTACTCAGCACTGGTTAAGTCTCAACTTGAGTATAGTGTTCAGTTCTGGACATCACAGTTTAAGATGCAGATGAGCTGGGAAGGGTTCAGAGGAGGGCAATAAGGATAATCCAGGGATTGGAAACAAAACCTTATGTGGAGAGATTGAAAGAACTGGGCATGTTTAGCTTTGAGAAGAAAAGACTGAGGGAAGATATGTACAAGTACTTGAAAAGCTGTCACAAAGAGGAAGAGCAGGATCTCTTCTCAATCATGTCAGAGTGCAGGACCCAGAATAATGGGCTGAAATTACAGGAAGCCAGATTCAAGCTAGATATCAGGATAAATTTCCTGTTAGACTGTTAGAACAGTATCACAATGGACCTAGGGAGGTTGTGAGCTCTCTCACTGGAGGCATTCAAGAGGCAACTGGGCGGCCATCTGAGAGGACTGGTTTAACTGGGAGTCCTGCACAGAGCAGGGGGTTGGACCTTTTGGCCATTTCCAACATTCTATGTTTCTATGATACTATAGAGTTTTTTAAAAATTAAAAAAAACCTTTCAGGTCACCACCATTGTAGCAACATGGTTAGTAGTGTTGACCAGAAGGGTTTTTTTTTTTTTTTTTTTAATTGCTTGATAACATTTTGGTGGTATGATGATATACCCTTTTTCATTAGGGAAAAATATGGCTATAAAAGCTTCATAGCATCTTTCAAAATAGGGTTGTAAGAGTGATGCCCACCTAAATGTGTTATAGTAAATGTGTGCTGAGCTGAATAGGTTCACATATGCATGGCAACTCTCCACAATTTAAAAAGAACGTAAGAGCCATGTTAGAGACATCAGCACCTGTGGAGATTGTGCTACTCATGTGTTCTGAAAAAAGCCAGACTTTGGTCTGAGGAAGACAGAAGAATCACAGGGGGAAAACTGGGCAGCAGCAATTGGCGAGTGGCATTGTGTGGGTGCCTTTGAAAAAGTGAGCAGGGCAATTCCACACTCCAGCCTTGGGTGGGAACACTTTCTGTAAGCAGCAAACCTGCTGTAGTTGAACAGCAAGCAAATAATCTGCAGATCATGGATATTAACAAATCAGCCTTTAAAAGCCATCCTGAGTTTCCCTTAAGTCATTAGGAAGTAATTGCACATCCTATTTTTGGCACTAATCACTCTCCATCATCACTCAACTGTCTCCACCAACCTTCCCCAACTGGGTGCCCTCAATATGCATTGGACTACACCTTCCATAATTCCCAGCCAGCACTAGTGATTGGCCATGCTGGTTAGGGTTATAGAAGAACATCCATCATGTGGGCTCCAGATTGATAAAGGCTGATCTACACCCAAATCCTAGCTACACCCAATCCTTACTCCAGGTGTTGCTCATTGCTGTATTCCTTTCCAAAACTAGCACAGATGGTGGGTTACAGGGCTCAATTTGTGCCTGTATTCACTGGGGCTTAGGTTTCTAACCTCTTTTCAGTGTCAAGGTTCATCCTTGGATCATAACTCTGGACATGTGCAGACTGAACTGATATATTTGATGTCTGTCTTGCTTATCTACTAAAAAATCCCTTGATACAGAGTAAGCATGTCATAGCCAAATGTTCACTTGTTAGAGGTTGCTGAGAATGGTGTCATCTCAGGGGGTTTGGCTCTCAAATTATCAAGAGCCTCTCTTCCTAAAAGTTCGCCATTCTAAGGCACACGTAGAAATGAGTCCACTGCTCACACACCTGCTGTTCTTCCTCTGCTGTTCTGGTGCTCATACATATGGCAGCTGGGATAAATATCTATGATTTTTTTCTGGCAGAGCTTATACAGCACAACATGAAAACTTGTAGTATCCCGAGGAACTTTAAATTTTAAAGGAATTTCATTTCCATGCTTCTGAAGACATTTTAAACGGGGAGCTCGGAAAGCAGTTCTGTTCATACACTGAGGGGCTTTTATGCTTCCTGAACTGTGCCATTCTCTTCACAGAACAACAACCCAGACAACCCCAATTGTGAGGGCATCGAGGGAGTGCTGGAATCCTATTTCCAAAGCTTGCGTACAGTGCAGTTATATGGACCCACCAACTTTGCCCCTGTCATCAACCAGGTTGCCTGGTAAGTGGTGAGCAGGGAAGTAATCTGCAGAAAATATCTTTTCCCTCCTGTCTCCTGGAAGCTTCGCACGTGGCATGGTGACCAGGGCATGCCAAACACCAACCACTGCATATCCAGATGTGGGAAAAGTTATGTCTCTGCTCATTATGGCCTAGTATGGCACCTGCACTTTCTCAGAGGCCCCTCAAGTGCAGCCTCCTGTACCTCAGCATAACTCACAGTGAGATTTGAACTGCACAGCACTAGAGAAGGTAACGGAGTGGTCTATGTCAGATTTCTCCAATTGGTGCTTTTCAGGTATCTTCAGCTCCCATCAGCCTCAGCCACCATAGGCTAAAGTCAAACATGCTGGATGGCCAAAGCATCTGGTGGTCACCAGGTTGCACAAGGCTGGTCTAAACCTCAGCAAGGTCTAAACCTCAGCAAGTCTTTAGCCAATAGTCCAATGTGTGCCAAAGGGCTTGGGAGTGATAGATCAAGACAGAAGTAGGAAGCAAGCAGGTGGCAGACAAAGGCGAAGCTCAGTGGATATGCACATTCCTTGTGTGCAGAAGGGCCCAGATTCAGTCCCTGGAGAGCTGCTGCTAGTCAGTGCCAACCCTACTGAGCTAGGTGCACCCCTGGTTTGACTCAGAATAAGGCAGCTTCTGTGTTTCCATTGAAATAAGTGACTTTTTGGTCTGGTTCCTTTCCATCTTTCCTAGTTCGGCTGCTCAGCTTACGGATGGGTCCCAATATTATGTGCTCCTCATTGTCACGGATGGTGTCATCTCTGACATGCTGCAAACCAAGGAAGCAATTGTCAGTGTGAGTCTGTCTTTTCTCTTAGTGTGGGTGCTGGAGCAGGGGACAAGGAACACCACCATAGCCTGGGGAGAGGAATGAAATCAAGTCTCCTACTCAGAAGTCACCCTAAATGCCACCACAACGAAATCTGTGACCTCCCCTCTTCCAAAGTTAACAAATATCTCCCAGTCTCCACCAGTCCAAAGAGCTCATGTTCTATTCTGCATGGTGATGACACAGATATTAGACTGGAGTTGAAGAATGTGTGCTTCTCCAGGTGTTGTCAAACTACAGTTCCCATCTGCCCTGCCCAGCATAGCCAATAGTGAAAGATTCTGGAAGTTATGGTCCGACAACATCTGGAGAAGACACATGTCTCATTCCTGCATTAGGTGCTAGCAGGGTTGGGATTGGAGGCTGATAGGTACCAGCTTGTCAGACTGAGTTGGGGAATAAACCAGCATTGTAACCCCATTCTGCCAGTTAAATGCATTGAATGCTACTTTGTCCTATTAATTTAAGAGAAGCACCCTAATGTTGTTGTCGATGTGCCCTAGTCTCAGGGGGCTGCTTACCCACTATGTCCTGGCCCATAGTCAGGTCTTCCTCTGGTACAACCTCCACCTCTGGTACAACTTTTACACAGCCGCAAGTGTTCATGCGAGCAACCCTCACAAAACAGGATAAAATGCGAGACTGGGCCCTCGAGTCAGAGCAGGGAAAAAATATGAATGAGCAAGTCGC